GAAGCGGCCGCAGGCTTGGTTGGTTGCCCCTCGCTGGAGCTTTGCTGCTGTGGCTGGTGGGCAGATGTTGTGAGCCTCTCTCATTTGGGAAGGGACCGAGCAAATGCTCACTCTCTGACTGTCTGGTGTGTGTCTTCCGAATCTGCCCACGACAGAGAGGCAGGGACACACACATATGCAGACCTGACTTTGGTTGTCCCAGCACCCTGGGCAGTGATTCAGGCTATTTGTCATCTACCCCTTCTATGTCCTAGGGAAGATTTTAGAAATTCTAATACAGGAGGCTGAGAAAGGAAAATATTGGCTCCTACAGTCCAAACATCTCTGTCCTGAAATGTTAATTTTCCCCTAAATCAAATGTTGACATATATCAGCTGCTGCCGAAGATGTGTCACTGTGGGAGAAGTTCTCTGCTCCGGAGCATGGAGCTCTGAAAGGCTGGCTGCTTTAGAATCTAAACAGGGTCAGTGTAGCAGTTTTATGAATCAGGCCAGTTATTTCTCAAAAAGCTGGTCTCTCTGGGACTCCCTCCTGAGCAGGGAGGCGGGGGGTGGGGACAGGGTTCCACTCTGTGGAATGCACCATTTTCTGCAGAAGCCTGGGCACCTCCATCCGTACCTGCAGTGATGCAGGCACAGCTTACCTCTGCCAGGGGAGGGGGGATTTTAATTGGGGGTGTGGAGGGTGGGGGGAAGGCTAGCGGAGCAGCGAAAGGATGGAATCCACGAGCCAAGGGAAATTTCCAGTGCTGGATTGTTTCCCTGCCCCTTTCCCCACTGCCCCTGAAACACACAGTCTAAATATTCTTCTTTGTTCAACACCTATGTTTTTAAAATTCCAAATTAAGTTCCCCCACCCCTCTCTCCCTCCAACTAGTCGTATGCATGCGCACACACACACACACACACACACGCACCCTTTTAACTTGCTAAGTTTGAAAGATGGTGATGTAGACAAGCCGTGTGCTTTGCCAGTCTGCACGGGGAAGGCCAAGATTGATGCAGAAGGTTGGTGCAACGTTGCCGCAGAGCCGCGTGATCGGAATACAAGATGGAGCGCAGGGGGAAAGGCCAAGAAATATGCCTGTGCTTGGAGTTTACACAAGTCTCCTTAGCAACTTGTCTGAATTTATTTTTCCCTTCATGTGTGTGGGTTTCTTCCAAACCCTGAGTGAAACGGGAGTGGAGTTTCTAAGGCCCCCTCCTCCTTCTCCCTGAGGGCGAGATTAGCTAGTTGGTTGAGAGCCTTTCCCTCCCGGACCAGCTCCTTCCCACCCTGACACCCCCACCCTCCCACTGAGGCAGCTCCTCCTTTGCATTGTGCCTTTGAGGACTGTGGGTAGCTTTCCAGAAATCCACATCTCCACGGGGGGAAGGACGGAGCGTGTTTCGGATGGCCACAGCTGGGCGGGTGTCTGCCGCAGCCTCCCGCGCCTCGTGCCTGCTCCCGTGTGTGGCATCCGTGCAAATGTGCCTGTTTACACGGCCGCCTGTTGTAAAACAGGGGAGAAACGGCACAGACCCTTCCCTCCGGACTGTTTTTCTTCTTCTGTCTTGCTCTTTTCCCTTTCTGTCTTTCATCACCTCCCCCAACACACACACACACACACACACACACACACACACTCTCACACACACACACACACACACACATGGTCCTGTAATTCTAATTAGAACATGAATATAAAGCTATTAGAAAAAAAACTTGACCTTTAGGAATGTGGCGTGTTGGCTTTTATGTGAGTGGGCTGACTTCAGGGGAGACGACTGTAAATACTGCAGCGGTTTTAGCCCCCAATTGCTTTACCTTGAAGAAACTAGGGGAGAAGAGTTGCCGCCTCGTTGCAGCTGATGTTGAATATAAATCTTAATGTCTCTTCCGCTTGCCCCCTCCCCTTTTAGAATCGGGTCGGGGGTGGGGGGTGGAGGGAGAAGAAAAAAAAGAAACCTAGCCAAAAAACGTTAAGGTTTGATTTTGGCTTTTTCACAAACAGATGTTGCTTGTCATTCTGTTGTTGTTAAGCAGGCACCAGATTGGACCAAGCGGCTGTGTGTGTGTGTGTGTGAGAGAGAGAGTGTGAGAGAGAGAGAGAGAGAGAGAGACAGACAGTAGGAAGGGAGGGGAGGGGGAGGGGAGAGGAGGAGGGGTGTAGGAAGGAAAGGAAAAGGTGGACGGTAGGGGTAGGACGGAGGGAGGGCGTGG